CTGATCTCAGCCCAGTGTATATCTTCATGGATTATGGCTTGTATCAGGACCTGTTATGACCTCGCTTTCACAGCCCACTTTACTAGAGCACAGGCTTCTGCTGCCTTTGTGGCACAGGTACCCTCCTGAATATTTGCAGAATGGCTTTCTGGATTTCCATTCATACATTCACTAATCATTATGCCATCTCCCAGCAGAGTAGGGATGACGCATTCAGTAGGGCAGTTTTTCAGTCCATTTCCAATTAGTCTCCAAGCCCACTTCTGGTTACCACAACTTGTGATTCACCTAAAGGGAATGGGCATGAGCAGTCACTTGAAGAAGGAAAAAATGGTTTCCCACCTTTCATATCTGTTGTTCTTCGAGATGTGTTGGTCATGCCCATTCCAAACCCTGCCCACATCCCCTTTATCAGAGAGTTCCAGCAAGACGGAACTGAACGGGTGGAGGGCCAGCAGAGGTATGTGTGCTGCCATAGCGGTGCCACTTTAGAGTGCTTCCCTACTGACCCAATGGGTACTGCTATTGGAAGCTTTTTCTAACAGTTCCAGCGCACATTCACGTAAAGGGAATGGATATGAGCAACACATCTCAAAGAACAACAGTTATGAAAGTAGGTATCCAGGGTTTTTGGCAACCACTGGTCACATCCCATAGCCACATAACTATGTGGTCCCATTAGTCTGTGCTTGTCTCACAGGAGCAGAATCAGCATTCCACTGTGTCAACAGGAGTGACTGCTACTAGCATATTCCTATTGCTCCACTCAATGGGTTCCTGCATGTCTGTGTTCATGGCCCCCTCACATTCTTCCTCGCTCCGGGGGCTCCTGGGTAGACTCTTGACACACTGCAGCATAATACGTGAAGTGTTTGCAATACTTGCCATAGCAGCCTAGAACTGAGCAGGGCCCATGCTTGTCTTGCTATAGCATCTGCATGGATAACGAGGGGGAAAGGGGCATGAAAAATTGTTTGCCGTTCCTTTCAAGCAGTGGGGGAGGGAAGAGATGAGTGTGTTATGGGATGCTGACATGTATCCACAACCATCTGCTGCAATGTTTTGGTCCTATCAAGCAATGGGAGTCTAACTTGGAATGCAAGGGGCGGCAGGAACTGTGGGATGGCTACCTGTAGTGCATCACTGTCAGACTGAAGATAGCCACTCTGCTAGGGACATACTCTCTCAACCTCATGTGCACAGTGAGGACATGTACCTTTTACTTCACAAAATTGTGTTCTTAAAAATCAACCTTTATAAATTCAACCTAATCTCATAGGGTACCTTTAGATTTAAACACTTCCCATTTCAGTTAATCAGGTTTCACTTCCTTGTCAAGTGGTGTCAAAATCATACTGTATACATCAGGGCTGCTCAACTTTGGAAACCCTGGGTGCCACAATGATACTCCCAGCACATGCCGAGGGCCACAACTTAAGTGTGGTTGCATATATGCAAATAGCTTCTTTCACACTGACGGGCATGAATACAGAGTTTAAGGCAAGACTATACAACACACAGGCCCCATTTAAGTCAGTTCTGCCGATATTAATAAAATGCAATATTTACCCGATTTCCATGCATATGACAGCACTTTTAATGAGCAATGACAGTCCAGGAATTTAACTACTAAAACGCATATCAACAGAAGACCATTATATTGACTATTTTTTTTGTTTTGGCTCCCACCAGCGAGCTGTGTGTTGAGCTCCATGTAAACCCCAACTGCAACATGGGCTGCAAACAAATGGGCTGCCGGCCACATGTGGCCTGTGGACCACGTGTTGAGTAGCCCTGGTATACAGTATTCTGGGGGGACAAGACTTCAAGTTCTAATGCATAAAAACAAACATTTGAAATCTTTTTTGAACATCAAAAAAAGCAAAAAACCACAATTCTGTCCCTTTTCTAGATCTGCTGGCAATGTTCCTCCTAATGCAACCTAATATGCCATTAGCCTTCTTGGCTACAAGGGCACACTGTCGACTCATATCCAGCTTCTCATCCACTGTAATCCCCAGGTCCATTTCTGCAGAACTGCTTAACCAGTCGGTCCCCAGGCTGTAACAGTGCTAGGGATTCTTCCATCCCAAGTGCAGGACTCTGCACTTGCCCTTGTTGAACCTCTGGACCCTCTCCCTGCCCTCCAGCATATCTACCTCTCCCCATAGCTTAGTGTCATCTGCAAACTTGCTGAGGGTGCAATCCATCCCCTTTCATAATGATGATGAGAAACCCTTGAAAAGATGAAGCTCCTGTAAATTGATAAGCAACATCTGTCTTCCTACAGCCGGAAACAACTCTCAGAATTGTAAAGTGCACCATATCCTCTCAATGAGATGTTAACTTGTATGTCTAACTGTGATCATTAAAAGTCAAACAATAATTATTTCTCTGCTACAAAAGCACGTTAGACTGTGTCGACATTGGCAATGGAGTGACAAAGCTTTTGTCATTAATATGTGCTCAAAGCCTGCTCCTCTGGAACTACAAAAGCTTTGCTGCAGCAAGTACTAGTAGAGAGTGGAATTTTTGTGTTGACAAAAGTGCGGACAAGCAGTGTTTACACTGCCTGACTTTTAGTGACAGGGCTGTGTTGACATAACCATGTAATTAAAAACTGTGTAGTACAGACATTCCCTAAGAAAGGAAGAGGATTGTAGATCTTTGTATTCCATTATGAGTGGTATTTCATTTGGGTGTCATGACTGGATGGTCTTAGGAAGAACACTGCCACTTTTTTTCCCCTTCAGTCTGTCATATGGAGCCAAATGAGGAATGAGGGGAGAAATAAAGGCCTGGGATTCCTGCAAGACTTACTAAGAGGAATCCACCAAGCCCAGCAGGGCATCTTATGTCTTTTCTGTAAAGTTTACTGAGAATGTACTGTTCATCCCTATTTTTCTGGTTTATCTTAGTTCAGTCTCTTTCAGCATTCACTCTGTGTCATGTCAATTTTGAGGACTCTGAGTACTTGATTTGGTGATCATGATGATTCTGTCTCTTTTCTATATGGTTTTGTGAGAAGCAATCCCATTCCAGGCACATCCCGTTTTCCTGGCACAACCAAGCCCTTACCTTGCTTTAAGATATAAGAAGAAGCTCTCTCTATAGATAGATAGATTTTTATATCTATTTATCACACACAAACCCAAATTCTTCTACAGATATCCTTTCTGATTCTGTTTTTCTATGAAGACTCTGTGGACAAGGGGACTTAGAGGAACAATACCAATAGAGTTTAAGAAGAAAATAGACCCGTAACCACTACTGTTTTAAAAGTCTCATGCAATTTATCACTAGTGCATTAAGGTGCAAACTTACAGTTTCATTTTGAAGTCTTGATTGCTATGGTAACTAAGGATGTAAGTGACTAGTTGAATAGTCGACTGCGTGATAAGCAAGGTCAGGGAGTTCCAAGCCTCTTTAATCCTGATAGCACCAACATGGCCTTATCAACATTGGTTCCCAACCCTGCACAGCCTCTCGATGAAGTGCTTTTTGACCTTCCCTCTGTATCCAGACCTGATCTCTCAGGAGTTTGGCAGGGTGTGCCACCTCAACCTCTGGTCTCTACACCACATGGCATGGAAGCTCTGTGGCTGACTGCTTCAAAGAGGCAGAGTTCGGAGCATATCCAAAGGGTCGTACTGGGGAGTGGTAAAACCTCCACTGGTGAAATGATGTGGTTGGAAGGGAAAGGCTATTCCCCTATAGAAGTCCCTGTTTCTGCCTTTTTAGATTACCTCCTGGACCTCAGACTCCAGAGCCTTGCCCTTTCCTCGGTCAGGGTACACCTGGCCACCATCTTGACTTTCCATTCTTGGTCCCAGGGTGAGTTTGTCTTCTCAGATCCTATGGTGCACCGCTTCCTTCAGGGGTTGAATACGGTATACCCTCAAGTGTGTCAGCCCCTGCCCACCTGGACCTTAACTTGATGCCCACTAAGCTGATGGCTCCCACTTTTGACTCTTTCACTCCTGCACCTCTCCTGGTATTTTCTTCTGAATTTTTAAAGTTTAAAAGTTACTTTCATAGTTTGATGCAGAATTTAACATTCAGTAAAGTCTCCTTGTATGCTTGCTTTTAGGAATTATGCAATTTCTTTGTGTAGAATTTTGTGTGTTCTACTAAGACATGCTTACTAAATTAACATTTCAAAATAAGTGTTAGAGCTGCCTTGGGTAACTTAGCCAAGCAAAACCCACATTGTATACAAACCAGGATATAGCCTTTTCTCTTTCCTGTAACAGTAATTCCAAATATATTTCAAAATATTACAGGTTGATAATTGTAAATCATGCCAAAAAAGCTTATGCTAATGTTGGTCCATTCTAGTGCGGACTTCAAATATTATCTGTGTTTAATTTCTTTGGCAGGTCAGTTTTATCCCCAGAGCAGCAGCTGTAGGGAACATCCTGCTCAGTCCCTGGAACAGTTGCTCCCATGCACAGTGTGATCACAGATAGGATTTGAGAGGGATGGAGCATGAATAGTGCATATAGAATAGTCACAGGATTTAGCTGACAAACTTGAGTTGCTAGGCATGTGCGAACTACAGGTCTTTTCAAGTTTTGCCAGATTTGGACAGGTTTTCATGGGGGTGGCAAAGGCATATCACTGACAACAGGGAAGCCCCATAATTCTGAGTTCCTGCTTCAAAGCATGGAAGTGCTAGAGTGTCTCAAGAAAATGGCTGTAAGAATTTTTCATCATGTACCAAACTATGTATATACTCCTCCAGTCTTGCTATTAAAAACTGCTAAACTATTTTTGCTAACACTTTAGCAGAGCATTCAGTCTGATAGACACACCTGTCACAGAAAATTTCTTCCTGGATGGTTAAAAGCAAAATTATAAGCAACTGAAAACTGGGTCTTATAATATTGTGTTAACTGTATGCATAGCTAAAGCTTCACCAATAATAATGGAATCACATGGATATGTATGCTATGAAAGAGGCAAATATATACTCATGACACACATCATTGTAATTGTAGGTAACTAAATGACCATGGAATCAGGTGCAGAGACACAGCAGAGTGGAGATGCAGCTGTTACAGAGGCAGAAACCCAACAGATGACTGTACAGGCACAACCGCAGATTGCAACATTAGCCCAGGTATAATGATTTGGTTTAATGTTTTTACAGCATTGTTTCCCAACTGCATAAGGTTTAAAGGGGAAAATATTTTTTAGGAGGATTAGAGAATGCTCTATTTTGTGTGAGTCTAGAACTGGTAATATGTATTTTTCATTTAATTTTGTAATCAGAATTGTACATTATCATTTGTTGGTTTAACTTTAATATCACATTGGACTATGTTAGGCCTGATATATTTTTAAAGTATAATCAATTTATAAGGGGACTACAGACACAGACTTTTGAATTACTTCTTTTCACTTGTAGCATTCCTTCCCACCCTGGAAGATACTTCAAAACTTTACAATCTTGGTTTTTTGTACTAAGTGGTATAAACAGGGTGTTGCTTGTTAGAGTTAGGAACTTTGTTATGACAGTAGACTTGATTTTTAAGAAAACAAACTGATTTACTTTATATGGTTAAATAATACAGAGAATACATAAATCAACAAAAGGTGTTGATATAATGAACATTATAAATAACAGGAGCAAAATTCCATTCCCTCTTTGCTCATTATCAGAAATCCAAATTCTTCAGAATTGTCTCCCTTTTACTGAGGCATTGTTAGGCCCTTTATTGTCTCAAAAAGTTATTTTGTAACAACCAAAAATAATGCAAATGTAATTACCTTCTTAATTTCTAGATCCTGTTCAATACTGGGTAACATTGATGTTTGCCAGGAGTAACTCCATCGTGTAAATGAGTGTAGTCCCTTGTTTAACAATTTCATCTTGTACATTATTTGCATCCCCAAAGTATGTAAAATTATGCATCTTTCAACCTCTTTATTGTGTGAATTTCTGAAATCTTTCTTATGGCATGATTACAAAATTATTTAACACTTACAGGATAAAGTTGAATTAAGATATGCAACTTCAGCTACGTTAATTGCGTAACTGAAGTCCAAGTCTGCTGAAGTCATCATCAGTTGTTGGCTTAGCTTAACAGCAGAACAACGTTCAGTTGACCAATTTTGCTTTCATTGGCAAGAACTGTTTTAGTCCGTTGGATTCATTATTAACAAAGCCACATAACTTATGGTTTTTTTTAATAATTAAAAAGAGGATTTTTCTGCAAATTTATATCCTCCTGCCTGAGAAGCGTGACACCCAAAAAGTTTTTTTACTTTCTCCAACCACCTGACATGGGAAAAGTGCCCCTCAGTTGCCAAATGATACTGTAGCTCCTAGTTTCAACTGCAGATCGCACATGTGAAATTGTGCAGGAATTCAGTACATCTGTGCAGCAGCCATTTTCACAGGCACACATTTAGGATACGTCTACACTACAGAGAAGATCAAAGCTGCCACTGTTGATCTGCCAGGGTTTGAATGAGCAGGTCTGGTTAAGACAGCTAATTTGAACTGAGAGGGGCACTGCAGTTGATTCCGGTAGTCCTGCTTCCATGGGGAGTAAGGGAAGTCGAAAGAAGAGTGTTCTCCCTTTGGCTTCCTGCAGCGTGGACAGCACCAAAAGCTGAGTTAAGCTACTTCGACTTCACTTACACAATTAACATAGCTGAAGTTGCATATCTTAATTCGACTTTATCCCGTAGTATAGACATACTTAAGAGTAATTGCGCAGCTGAAGTCGAAGTAGCTTAACTACTTTTGGCACTGTCCATTCTGTAAGGATCCCTTCAGGGCCGGATTGCCCACAGGGAGCTGACAGTGGGGCTGCCCAGGGAGTCCTGACGTGTGGCTGCTCATGGAGTCACACTGTGCACAGCTGTCTGGAGCCCCAGCGCCAGGCTGCCAAGTGGAGCCATGGCAGCAATGGTTGCCCAGCAGGGTCAGCAGGAGGTGGGGAGCCAGCTGGGACCTCCTTGGTCTGGCAAAATCCCTCAACGGGGACTAGTCAGGCCCTGAGGGTACTGGACCAGGGAGGTTCAACCTGTAGTTAAATAATGAGATGTTGCAATAATCTAATAATATATATTCCCTCTCTTTTTTGTAGGTATCTATGCCAGCAGCTCATGCAACATCTTCTGCTCCAACAGTGACCTTAGTACAATTGCCTAATGGGCAGACAGTTCAAGTTCATGGAGTTATTCAAGCAGCCCAGCCATCAGTTATTCAGTCTCCACAGGTCCAGACTGTTCAAGTATGTATTAAAGAATATCAGACTCTTTAACTCATGCATTCTATATGGCCTTATCAGTCCACCTTTCTCAAATGTATTTGTGTCTCTGTGTGTGTTCTGTGTCATGTCAGCTTTGAAATGTTTGTGGGAAAATCTGTACTATGCTTGTTATCTCATGACTTTTGTTGTCTTTATGGTTTATCTGCTTTTCGTTTCCATACATTTCCCCCCTTACTCTACTCCAGGGCTACACAACTTTGGAAGCCCCAGGGGCCACAAGGATACCCACAGCACATGCCGAGAGCACAGCTGCATATATATGCAAATAGCTTCTTTCATACTGACTGGCATGTATAAAGATTAAGTTAAAACTTACATTTTCAGGAAATTATGGAGGGTTAGACAACTATTTAATTACTAGCCAATTAGCCCATCATAAGAAGGGATTTTCAGGTCTTCTTTCCTGAGCTCGCTCGCTCTCTCTCTCTCCCTCTCTCCCTACAGCCTCCCCCCTCTCATTCAGCTCTCCTCCGCATCCTGCCTCTCTCTCCGTCACTTTCTTTCTCTTCTCTCCCTCCTGCCTCTCACTCTCCCTTTCTCTTCTCCTCCTTCTCCTGACTCTCTCTTCCCTCCATCTCTCCCCGCCTCCCTTCCTCTTCCACCGTGGCGCTTGGCTGAGTGCTGCCTGCTCAGCCGGGCTGCTGCAAGAGAGGGGGGTGGGGCAGTGACGTACACAGCTGGGGGCGGGGCCGTGTACATCACCGCCCTCTTACATCACCGCCCTCCCTTTCACTCCCACCCCGGGGGAGCCCAATCAGCTGAGTGCCACAGCGGGAGGGGAACGGGGTGGTGACGTACATGGCCCCGCCACCTGGCCGTTGGGCGCTCAGCCGGGCTGCCGCAGGAGAGGAGGGGCGGGGCGATGACATACACAGCCAGGGGGCGGGGCCGTCTACGTCACCGCCCCCCGCCTCTGGAGCCCTTTTTGAAAATTGGCATCACATTAACTATCCTTCAGTCACTAGATACAGAATCCGATTTAAAGGACTGGTTACAAACCACAGTTAGTAGTTCTGCAATTTCACATTTGAGTTCTTTCAGAACTCTGGTGAATGCCATCTAGTCCTGGTGACTTGTAACTGTTCAATTTCTCAATTTGTTCCAAAACCTTCTCCAATGACACCTCAATCTGAGACAAATTCTCAGATGTGTTTCCTAAAAAAAATGACTCAGGTTTGAGAATCTTCCTCACATCCTCATCTATGAAGTCCGTTGCAAAAAATCATTTAGATTCTCTGCAATGACCCTGTCGTCTTTGAGTGCTCCCTAGCATCAAGTGAGAGGCGTTAAACACCAAGTATACTACCATGAAACTAGGAAAGGCTCCTGCAGGACCTCCATACCCCTATAAAGATTTATAATTAGTTCTGTCACAATTGCGCTCCTCACTCCCTTTGTCCTCAAACCCTTCTGCTTCAATCCTATGTTGCTTCTAGTTATTGTGTCTCCAGACCTGACTGCCTACCTTGCTTTGTTTCTGTGGGTTGGAAGGAAGCAGGATTGAAAGAAGGAGTTATGGAAAGAAAAAAGTGGGTGAAGCCATTATTTATAATAATTTGCCCATAATGTATTTTCATATGTTAGTGTCTTGTTAAATACATTTCTGAAGCTAGATGGCTGATTCTGATTGTATTATGTATTCACTAACAAGTGATCGTCTATTACTTTTGATTTTCTCAGTCTACGCTCTACATGCACTTTATATTGGTAATCTCTTTCGCATACTGTGAAAATGTGCTTATAATGGTAGATTTATTACAGTACAATTAGCTTGTTAAATTTGTTTTCAGCGGTAAATTTATTTCATTCTTATTTATAGATCTCCACTATTGCAGAAAGTGAAGATTCACAGGAGTCAGTGGATAGTGTCACAGACTCACAGAAACGCAGAGAGATCCTTTCCAGACGACCCTCCTACAGGTATGGATGGTAAAAGCTGAAGCGTTTTGATTGATGCATTTATTCAGCAAATGAGTAGACAAATAGTTTTGGTAGTTAATGTGAGATCTACCTTTTTTTATTAAAATATTCCTCCAGTGACACTTTTCCATAACTAATGTTGGATGGGATGCCAGAAAATAAGCAAAATAAGACATGGAGGGGAAAAAAGTCTGCCCTTGTGAGGAGATAGTAAAGAAAATCATTGAGAATAAACTAAGTGCTAAATAAATCTATATGTGTAATATTTAGATACTATTACAATAAGTGCTTTTGAAGTTGCTTAAACATCTATTTAATACTTGGTGCACCACTGAAACAAGCCAGCAAGTTGCTACTATATATTCCGTTGTCTCCGTAGAATCAACATTTCAGTTTGTTGTAATGCAGAAACATGAGCAATAGTCAGATTTAATTCTTTTTTTCACCTTAGACTTTCAGTGGAAACATAACATTGTGTGCCTCATTAAAACGGCTGTAGATAGAACTTCTTAAAATGTGTCATGCTTCTTAGGGAAAATAGCATATAACCAAATTAGCTGCAGGTGCCCAACAGAGAGGGAAGCGGCCTAGCCAAGTTAGTTTACATGTAGTATTGTCTCCAAAATGCTGAAAATCAGGAAAGTCTTGGATTTGAGTTAGAGCTAGCCCTAGGTATCTCTAGTTTGGGTGGCAAGTACTTACGTAGCAAAACCAGCTAGTGTTTTTTCCTTAAATCAGACACTTGTGTCTTCCTTTCATTAAATGCCCATACAAAAAACATTCTGGCAGGATTGAATTTTCTTTTGTAATTGAGGAATGAATTAATTTTAAAAATTCAGTACCATGAAGTAATTGTAATTCCATTCAGTAATACTTCTTTGTGTATGGAAACTGACGTTTATCCTTATTTTGTCATGTGAAGGTCTAGATTGAGCCTTACACCTTCAGAAAATGTGCAGGGACAACATCAGCAGCACATGGAATCACTTTTTTGGATCAGAATTGGCCTTGGGACTCATAATCATGTGCACATTAAATCTCTGATTTGGAGGTCTAAAAATGAGATTCCTACCTTTCATTTTAAAACATAAAACTATGCTTGAAAACCGGTTTCTCATTTTTCCTAAAGTATGCAAATTATTCTGTGTCATCATATATTGCCATTCAGGGCTAGCCTTTGCAGGTGCATTAAAGCCATGACTGCAGATCTCTACGGTCCCAGGTGTGTTTGCAGCTGTAGACGGCAGCACTACTGGTGTTAAGCCTGCCTTAGACTTCTGAGTAGTCAGCGTGCCTGCAGCTGAGCTTTCTCCTGTTGTGACTCTGACCACCACAAGGAAAGATTAGTTGAATGAAATGAGGCAACAGAACAAGGGACAGTACCAAGAACAGGGGACTGATGCATTCTAATCCCAGATTTAACACTGACTCCATCTGTAACCTTGGTGAAGTCATTTAGGACCAGATTCTGTCACCTGTGTTCCATTTAGGCCTGGGGAAACTCAACTGACATAGATCTCATGTACCTGGCTTTCCTATGCCAGCCAACCTTCCAATCCCACATGGGATATCATGTTGGAACAGGAAAGATTGGGACCAGAGTACAATGGTGTCCTGCCAGTTCTCAGCTAATATAATCCAGGGTGCTATTATTTACATCTGGGCTAGGTCTGATAGATATCAGCCTACAGAGTTAGGAAGATAGAACTGGATCCTTGATGATGCCACCTTCATCTTGCTTGTTCATTTTTTCCTCAGTTATCTTTTTGCATGCCACCTCATGTGCATGAGAGAAACTCCCCATCTACATTTATAAAGCCACTACCTAATCGTCTTTGAAATTCTTCCTTAAAACTTTACTTCTGCCATAGTACCTACAAATCACACTTTTCTAGCATTAGCGGTGAGATTTACTTTCTACTTTTCTGTTAACTGCTTTTAACTGTTTTATTGTTACTTCCATCTTGTTTGTTCATTTTATCCACTTGTCATTACTGTCTCATCAGCCATCCGATGCCTATATTTTAAGCTGTCCAGGAAAATGACTGTCATCTTTGTTACTTGTCTGCAGCGCCTAGCAAAATGGAGAGCTGATCATCAGTCGGGGTTCCTAGGTGCTAACAAAATCTAATTAATAACAACAAAGCCCTGTTTCTGTTTGTCTTTTTGGTAAATGATCAGCCTCTGTGGAATAGAGCAATACATAGGTGTGACTACCAGAGCCATACAGAAATATTCAGTGTAGTCTGGACCTGGGTTCTTCAGCTGTTTTTTATGAGAACTAGAGGAGCAGTCCACAAGAGAATAGATATGTCATATGAAAACAAAAAAAATATCCACACTTTCCTTGCTGCCTAAACAGGTCTTTTGTGGTTGCATATAGTGGAGTATGTAGTCAATAAAAGAGAATTTGCCAGTCCTCCATATTCTTGGTAGAAAATGTTATCAGTCAAATTGCGGTTTTATTGAGCAGCTATCCCAATCAGGTCTAGCCATAGAATCATAGAATACTAGAACTGGAAGGGACATCGAGAGATCATCGAGTCCAGTCCCCTGCCCTTGTGGCAGAACCAGGCACCGTCTCAACTATCCCTGATAAATGTCTATCTAACCTGCTCTTAAATATCTCCAAAGATGGAGATTCCACAACCTCCCTAGGCAATTTATTCCAGTGTTTAACCACCCTGACAGTTAGGAAGTTTTTCCTTATGTCCAACCGAAACCTCCCTTGCTGCAGTTTAAGCCCATTGCTTCTTGTCCTATCCTCAGAGAATAGTTTTTCTCCCTCCTCCTTCTGACAACTTTTTAGATACTTAAAAACTACTATCGTGTCCCCTCAGTCTTCTTTCCAAACTAAACAAGCCCAATTCTTTCAGTCATCTCTCAGAGCTCATGTTCTCTAGACCTTTAATCATTCTTGTTGCTCTTCTCTGGACCTTCTCCAATTTCTCCACATCTTTTTTGAAATGTGGTGCCCAAAACTGGACACAATACTCCAATAGGGGTCTAATCATCACAGAGCAGACCATAAAAATGACTACTTGTGTCTTGCTCACAACACTCAGGGGCCTAATCATCACAGAGCAGACCAGAAAAATGACTACTTGTGTCTTGCTTACAACACTCCTGTTAATGCATCCCAGAATCATGTTTCCTTTATTTGCTACAGTGTCACACTGCTAACTCATATTTAGCTTGTGGTCCACTATGACCCCTAGATCCCTTTCTGTAGTACTCCTTCCTAGACAGTCACTTCTCATTCTGTATGTGTGAAATGGATTGTTCCTTCCTAAATGGAGTATTTTGTATTTTTCCTTATTAAACTTCATCCTATTTACCTCAGATCATTTCTCCAGTTTCTCCAGATCATTTTGAATTATGACCCCTAAAGGAAGAGAGGGCTTTTTGTGCAATCGGTAATCCTCATTCTATGAGGAACAAGCCTTTTTGCGAAAGAGCTCTTTCGCAAAAAGGCGTGTGTGCTCGGGGAGGAGGGAGTTTTTTCGGAAGAAGAGGGAAGAGGAAAAAGCACAGATGCCCCGATGGCCATTCTGTCCATAGCAATCACTGCTTACATGCGAGATAGCATCCAGGCAGTCTGGATGCTATCTTTCGAAAAAGCGCATCACTTTTTCAATGTGCTTTTGCGGTGTGGATGCTCTCTTTCACAAGAAGTTTTTTTGGGAGATCTCTTCCAAAAAAGACTTCTTGCACAAGAAGCCTGTAGTCTAGATGTAGTCTCAGATGCCTCTTCTATCAGCTCCTTGAGTGTTCTAGGATGCATTTCACCAGGCCCTGGTGACTTGCATACATCTAATTTTTCTAAGTAATTTTTAACTTGTTCTTTTTTTATTTTTTCTTCTAAACCTACCCCATTTCCACTAGCATTCACTATGTTAGGCATTCCTTCATCATCAGACTTCTTGGTGAAGACCGAAACAAAGAAGTCAGTCATTAAGCACCTCTGCCATTTCAAAGTTTCCTGTTATTGTTCTCCCTCTTTTCTGAGCAATGGGCCTATCCTGTCCTTGATCTTCCTCTTGTTTCTTATATATGTATAGAATGTCTTCTTGTTATCCTTTATGTCTTTAGCTAGTTTGAGCTCTTTTTGTGCCTTTACCTTTCTAATCTTTCCCCTGCATTCCTATATTATTTGCTTATATTCATCCTTTGTAATTTGTCCTAGTTTCTACTTTTTTATATGATTCCTTTTTGATTTTTAGATAATGCAAGATCTTGTTAAGCAAAGGCAGTCTTTTGCCATAATTTCTACGCCGCGGAATAGCTTGCTTTTGGGCCCTTAATAATGTCCCTTTGAAAAGCTGCCAATTCTCTTCAGTTGTTTTTCCTCTTAGTCTTGCTTTCCATGGGACCTTACCCACCAGCTCTCTGAGTTTACTAAAATCGGCCTTCCTGAAATCCATTGTCTTTATTTTATTGTTCTCCCTTCTACCATTCCTTAGAATCACAAACTTTATGATTTCATGATCACTTTCACCCAAGCTGCCTTCTCCCTTGAAATTCTCAACCAGTTCCTCCCTGTTTGTTAAAATCAAATCTAGAACAGCTTCCCCCCGCCCCAGTAGCTTTTTCAACCTTTTGAAATAAAAAATTGTCTCCAGTGCAGTCCAAGAACTTATTGGATAATCTGTGCCCCGCTGTGTTAGTTTCCCAACATATGTCTGGATAGTTGAAGTCCCCCATCACCACCAAATCCTGCACTTTGGTATGATTTTTAGTTGTTTAAAAAAAGCCTCATCCACATCTTCTGCCTGTGTAGGTGGTCTTTAGTAGACCCCTAGCATGACATCATCCATGCTTTTTACCCCTTTTAACCTAATCCAGAGATTCTCAACAAGTCTGTCTTCTATGCCCATCTCCACCTCAGTCCAGTTCTGTTGATTTTTAATATATAAGGCAACACATCCTCCCTGTTTTCCCTGCCTATCCTTCCTTAGTAAGCTGTACCCTTCTGTACCAGTATTCCAATCGTGTGTATTATCCCACCAAGTCTTTGTGATACCAACCAACTATGTCATGTTTGTCAGTTATGTTTCTTTATTAGCACTTCAAGTTCTTCCTGTTTATTACCCATACACCTTGCATTTGTATATAGGCATCTAAGATACTGATTTAATTATGCCCTCCACTTCTGCCTTGTCCCTCCTTTTTCTGTGCTATTATAGCCCATGCTTCCTTCCATTTCCAACCCAACTTCCAGTTCTCCATGTTCTTCACGTACCTGTGGGCTTTGTTCACCTGCCCCCATTGAACCTAGTTTAAAGCCCTCCTCAGTAGGTTAGCCAGTCTGCATCCAAATATGGTTTTCCCCTTCCTCAAAAGATGAACCTCATCCCTGCTTAGCAGTCCTTCTTCTTGGAATAGCATTCTGTGGTCGAGGAAGCCAAAGCCCTCCTAGTGACACCATCTTTGCAGCCAGGCATTCACCTCCAGGATGCACCCGTCTCTGCCTGGGCCCCTACCTTTGACAGGAAGGACTGGAGAGAATACCACTTGTACTCCAGACTCCTTCACCCGTACTCCCAGAGCCCTGTAGTCACTCTTGATCTGCTCAAGGCCACACCTTGCAGTATCATTAGTGTCCACATGGATGAGTAACATGGGGTAGTAGTTAGAGAACTGAATAATCCTCGATAATGCCTCCATAACATCTCGGCTATGGGCCTCTGGCAAGCAGCATACCTCCCAAGATGACATGTCAGAGCGACAGATGGGTGCCTCCACCCTCTCAGAAGAGAGCTATGGGCCCCTGGCAAGCAGCATACCTCCCAAGATGACATGTCAGAGCGACAGATGGGTGCCTCCACCCTCTCAGAAGAGAGTCTCTGACCACCACTACCCAACGTTTCCTCCTCTCAGTGGTGGCAACAGACCTTCCAGCACTGGGGGTACAAGGCTTCTCCTCTTCTGACGTAGGGGGTGATCCTTATCTCCCATATCCAGAACAGCATAACAGTACCCCAGGACCACGGTGGAAGGTTTGGGAGCAGGGAAAGACTACTGCCTGCTACCAGAAGTGACCAGCTGCCAGTGTTCCCCCGAGCCATCTCCTCCTCCACCAGTGGTGTGTCAGAAGTTTTGTGTATTGGGACAGCTTCCTCAGTCTCAGCTGTCTCCACATAAATACTCTCCAGGAATTCCTCATAGATTCAGATTCTCCTGAGCCTAGCCACCTCCTCCTATAGCTCTCCTACTGCTGCCTGAGCAATTCCACCAGCCGGCACCTTTCACATTGGACAGTTCCCCTTGCCTGGAGATCAGTCAGTGGGAATTGCAAGCCACAGTCCCTGCAAAACCACCCCAGGATCTGGGTAGAGGCATCCATGGGTAGGTGATCTGTCTGGATACAGGGGTAGGCATAGGAGACAGAAGCAGTGCTGGCAAAAGTGTTGCGGGTCTTCCTAACTATATTAGGACTCTCTCTGTCAAACTCCCTCTTAAACTTCCCTGTCTGCAGCCCCCTGTCTGCTTTGCTCCCCTGGTCACTCTGCCTCAGGCTTTAAAAGCCAGCTCACCCAGGTCAAGCCTGCCCTCCGTCCCCACCCCACCCCCTTAGCCACACAGGGGAAGGCTGATCCTGAGGCTGATCAAAGGATCAAACACTCCCAGACACACAATCCCAACTGCCATAGTCACTGAAATCAAAATTTAAATAGTCGAGCAAACTCATTCACCCCAAAAGCTAGTACGCTCACCTAGCAGCCTGTTCAACGGCGGGATCTCTTGCTTTCCCTCTTAAACTCCCCTGCCAGTGAGGGTAGGTTTGAGCTTCCCATGGACAGAGGCTGATTGGCTGGATGTGGAGCAGCTTCCGTCTGCAAGGAGCTTGGACCCCCTGCGGACAGGGGGTGTTGCCACGAAGCAGCCTCTGCCTATGGCAGGCCTAGCCTCTGTCCGCGGGGAGCTGTCAGTGAGAGCCATGGCTTTTATGATTGTGTCCTGTTTTGTTCATTTTGGCATTGAGTAATTGAGCCAAATCAGTAATTAAACCAAAACTGCTCCTTCCCCCCTTTACTGTTGCGAGTCCCACAGCTTTCTCAAGCAGGAGAGTTATGGAACCCGTGAACTTAGTTGCGTGATTTCCATTCAGATACCCAGTGCTGTCTCCTGAAGAGATGATAGGTCATGCGCAGATGGCACTTCACAAATATTTCTGCTAAGTTTTTAAAACTTGAGTCCCTTGCTGAAGTAGGCCTTGATGGCCTCTGAGGCAAAAGGACATCCTTTGCTTGTGGGTGGTGGCAACAAGGAGGTTTAGTTTAATGCTCGTGCTTTCTTTTTCCACTTCTTTCTGTGTCTCAGAGCAGGGAACTAGGGATGTAAACAAGTAGTCGAGTATACGAATAACTGATACGCCTAAGCTTATCTGTTAATCTTGTCGACTACTCACATTCCTTTTCCCCCTTGCTGCCTTTGTGTCAGCTCCTCACAGACAGAGGCTGGGCCCGCTGCGGACAGAGGCTGCTTCATGGTAGCAGCCCCTGTCTGTGGGAGGTCCAAGCTCCCCATGGACAGGTGGCTCCACAACCCGTGGAACAGCCTCTGTGCAGGGAGAGTATGGATCTCCCACCCTCGCAGACAGGGGCTGCTGCCAGACCAGCCTCTGTTCAGGCCTGCCTCGGCTGCTGTGGACAGAGGCTGCTTTGCAGCAGCTTCCTTCCTCTCCCCCTCCCTCCTGCAGCAGAGTCTGTCCATGGGGAGCTCAGACCCCTGTGGACTGGGCTGCTGCCACCTCATGCTGCTGCCTCTGTATGAGAGATAGTAGCACAGGGTGACAGGCAGCCGGTCTGTGTGGGGGGCTGGTTTTTAAACTGGCTCCCACCTGGCACCCTGCGCTGCTGCCTCCAAGAAAGAAGTAGCAGTGCGGAGTGGCAGGGGACTGCTTGGGAGTGGGGCCGGAGTGCACTGGCTGCCTGCCTCACCCCTGTGGACCAGAGGATAGTCAAGTAAGTGATAAGAATTCATGCAGTTATTCTGAAGTTTTTGAAAAAAAGGCAAAATAAGAATTCTTGATCCAAGATGTAGGGTGTTCTAAGTTGATTCCACAGCACCCTCTCCGTATGACATTTTTAACATGTAAAATAGTTAAAGGTGTACTTTTTTTTTTCCTATCCCATGTATTTTATTTCCTCATTTGCTCCACTTTTCAGTTTTCACTAGCACCAAGTAGCCAGTAGAATTGATTTTACTTTCACTTTTTGTTAAAATTTCTACAACACACTGTCTTTGCCAGAAAAATTTTGAATGACTTGTCCTCAGACGCCCCAGGAGTGCCAAGAATTGAAGAAGAAAAGTCTGAAGAGGAGACATCAGCACCTGCCATCACCACTGTAACAGTGCCAACTCCAATTTACCAAACCAGCAGTGGGCAGTACAGTATGTAGTTGTGTTTATTATTGGTGTTGATAATTGGAGAGGAAGAGAAAAAGCTGTTAAACTCTACTTGCATGACTGTTTGGGCTGGGGTAATACAAAAAAGATGATACAACATTAGTTGAAACTGACTCTTGTGCGATGACTGTCAAAAGCCTTATTAATCTGTTCCATGTAGGGATGTGATAGTGTAAACGGTTACATGCAGGCCCGCTCCCTCCTACGCTGCTGCCTCTATCAGAGCAGTGTGGCAGGGGCAGGCAGGAGTCAGTGCTCACCGGGCACTGAGGGGATCTGTAAGATATTCTCCCACTGCAACCTGAATCCTGGGTTGGAAAGTAGTGGATTGGGGGAGCGAAAGGAAAGAGGAAACAAAATTATTAAATAGAATGAGGGACTGGATATGTGTTTGTGGAAACAATGCCTGGAAAGAATGGAGAGATAGTGGAGAAAGGGATTAAATCAGGAGAAAAAGCTGGAGACCAAGGTGAAAGTGGAGGAGAAAAGCATGAAGAGGAGAGGAATTGGAGAAACAAGAGGGAGCAAAAAATTGAAGACAGCAGGTAGCTAGCCAACAAGAAAATAATCAACGTAGTAAATACTAGAGTTGGTTCTACACTGGGAAGGATTTAGCTCGTCCCAAGATACGTTTGCACTATGAGATTAGGTTGAATTTATTACGGTCGATTTTTAGCACCCAATTTTGTCAAGTGCATGTCCTCACTGTGTGCCTGAGGTTGATGGAGCGTGTCCCCAAGCTACCTTCACATCTGACAGCAGTGTACCATGAGTGGCCATCCCACAGTCCCTGCCGCCCCTTTGCATTCTAGGTTAAGGTGATGAGACCAAATCATTGCAATGTGTGATTCTGGGTATGTGTCGTCAGCATCCCATAATGCACTTACCTTCCTCCTCCCCTCCTGCTTGAAAGCAATGGCAATATTTTTGCATCCTTTTTTCCCTGGTTATTCATGCAGATGCTGTAGCAGGGCAAGCATGGATCCTACTCAGGTTTGAACTGCTGTGACAAGCTTTGCAAACACCTCATGCATTATTCTTCAGCATGTCCATAGCCTAGCCAGGAGCCACCAGAGTGAGGATGAGGGGGCCATGAATACAGACATGCAGGAACCCATTGATTGGAACAATTGGCAAATGTTGGCAGCAGTCAATACTTTTGACAGAGTGGGACCAGTTCAGGTCCTGTGAGACAAGTACAGACTGATGGGATCAGATAGTTATGCAGCTATCAGACAATCAGTAGTGGCTGCAAAACTTCTGTATGAATAAGGCCATTTTCATGGAACTTTGCGAATTGCTTTCCCCTGCCCTGAAGCGCAGCAATGCCAGAATGAGACTTGCTCTGACAGTTGAGAAGTGAATGGCATTAGTCCTGTGGAATCTTGCAATGCCATACTACTACCGGTCAGTTGGGAATCAATTCAGAGTGGGTAAATCTGCTGTAAATATCCTGCTGTGGAGGTAGGGACTCTGGGAAACGTGGAGGACATAGTGGAGAGCTTTCCCGCAATGGGGTTCCCTGACCATTGTGGAGTGATAGACAGAATGCTCATCCTTGTCTTGCAATTGACCACCTTGCCAAAAAAGTACATTACTCACAAGGGGTACTTCTCAATGGTGTTGCAGGCACTGATGGATCATGAGGGCAGTTTCACCAACATCAGCGTGGGATGGTCAGAAAAGGTCCATGATATAGGAACTCCTGGCTCTGCAGAGAGCTGCGCGCTGGAACTTTCTTCCCAGACCAGAAAATTTTCATTGGAGGCATTGAAATGCCTTGGAGACCAGCTTGTCCCATGGCTCATGAAGCCATACGCAGGCAGCCTGGACCACAGTAAGGAGCAGTTCAGCTACAGGCTGAGCAAGTGCAGAATGGTGGTAGAATGGCTTTTAGCCATTTGAAAGTATGCTCTAGGCGTTTATTGGCTAGATTAGATGTTGGTGAAAGCAACATTCCCATTGGTATGGCTGCCTGTGCGCCTCTATATCATCTGTGAAAGTAAGCGGGGAAAGTTTCTGGTGGGGTGGACAGTCAATGCAGATTGCCTAGCTGCTAATTTTGAGCAGCCAGACACTAGCACAATAAGGAGAGCACATTGAGGGGCACTGCAAATCAGAGGGTATGTCTACACTACCCCACTAGTTCGAACTAGGAGGGTAATGTAGGCATACCGCACTTGCAAATGAAGCCCGGGATTTGAATTTCCTGGGCTTCATTTGCATAAGCGGGGAGCCGCCATTTTTAAAA